AGGGAAGTTAACTGAGAGCTAACAGGATCAATTTTTGCTTTGTGTAACAGCCGATACTTTACGCTTCCACGTGGTGGTAGTATAAAACTGATAGTTTGGTATCGCCGTGCCTAGCATGCGCTGAGTCCCAGTGAGCGATGTGATTCGAATTACGCTATACCTGAGACTGATAGTGATTCTTAGTGACACTTTACAGACTGAGGAATGCTTATTTGAGTATGGCAATGACCTCTGTAATACTTGTCAAATACCAGTCATTGCTATTGACAACAGTCATCGTTTCAAGACAACTGTCGCCCGAACGATCAGGAACGAACGATCAAATCGAACTCAGCAGTAAGATTCTCTGTCGAAAAAAAATATTTGCGCAGAAATACATCTCAGCGAGTATTTATTTTTTGCAACCAATTTATGTGTTTTAAGGGCAAGGCAAACTTTGGGAGGCTTAAATAAAGTACTCAAGTCAAAAGTGGTTTTGAGTGATTCAATTGTATGATGCTCTATGGGTGAAAAGTCATCAAAGGTCAATTTTGATTAGAAATTAGAAACTCTTTATTACCTTTGATAACATCTTCAGAAAACAATACCGCATCTGTTTGAACAGAGCGTTTTACTAGTTACTACCCCTTAACCTACATATACATATTTCAGGTCTCTATGGGTGTGGCTCGAGGTCCATCAGCTCAGGAACAGTTCATTGTCTTTCTTGTCTCTCCACTAAGATGTATCCCATGGCTTAAGTGTGTTTACCTCTGTTATCTGACAACATGCTAGCTTTATTTCCACAAGTGTTGATGTCACCATGATTTCAGAATAATTTTCAGCATGGGGGTTTGTAGATCGTGCCGTGTACCATCACTCACCATGGCCAGCGTCCATCCTCCATCTTCGCACGCGCAACTCCTTTGAAAACAAAACATCAACGTATAAACTGAAATTAATCCAGAAAAAGGAAAAGGAAGAGTAATACAAATGCCGATCATACTTTCATGATAGATCACCTAACCATCCTTTTAAACAAGATCGTGAAATGGCCAAATCTGGTGACCTGTGGAGGATGCAGACATTGATGGAGATCTTTTATCAATTTGGTTGTACTTTGCACTATTGCAATTTTTCATTTCCGTTTCTTTGTCATTTTAGCAAAAACGCGCGTGTTTTGTTGTGAAATTCTTATTAACTCCCCTCCCTCCTTATTGGCAGTTATCTGACAGTCAGTTTTCCCAACTGTATGGTCTGTAGGCGACGACTGATTTGCTCCTTGAAACCCCCTGAACACCATGTGTGATTCTCCATATAAATGACTGATCCTAAATATGGGATTTTTTTTCTGCGAGAAATAACCAGAGAGTTTTTCTCTCTACAATTGTATAAGGAAATCGCACTAATCCATGCAGGCGAGTTTTCGAATAGAAAGGAGAACATCTGAAGTTGTGGTGGGAGAGGTCTCGGCTATGGGAAATAGTACGGAAAGAAATCCGTTAGAATGAAGAGCTAATGAATATCTTGTCAATATTTACATTCGCATGTCGCGTGGAGAATTCGAACAAATGATACAGGAAAATTGGGTCGTTCTGGTGATAGAACGAGAAAAGTAGTCAAGACTTCGAGAGAAACTACTGTTTGCGTTCTGTTACTTCTCGTTTCTGAGCCAATTGTTTTCTATACTAGTTGTTAAGGCCCTTGAGCTCAGGGTTACCCTACATAGCAGGCGTAATTTCTCGCGTTTTTCACACGGGCGGACAGATGCACGTGGCGAGTGCAAAGGGAAAGTCGATCGCACAGAAGAAATAAATAAATAAAAGTTAATATTTTCGTGTACCTCATTCAGTGCGTGATCAGATCATGACCTCCTTTCATGAACAGTTTGCGACATCGAAGTATTATAAACATCGAATATTTCTCCATCACCAATTTCTTCTTCGAATTGGCTTCGCGAAATATATTGACACGTCGTAGAGCAGATTCCAAAAAAGTTGTATTTGAGACAAATTGGAGCAGAGGAGAAGATAATTCCGAACCCGTTTTATTATCTGGTAGGCTTTAGGATAATACATTTTCTACTTCATGATGGCCTCTCGGCTCAAAATTTGGGAAGTTAACGATGCCCTCTGTCACTGCACTAGTATGTACCCCATGGCTTTGATGTGCTTGTTTCCATTATCTAGCGAGTGCGTTGCCTCATTTCCACACGAGTTGTAGACATCAAATAGACCTCATGTGCCAAAACCAGTTCGGGAGTCACGGGAAGAACAGTCATTCTGCTGGTTAGAAATGATGCCGATTCTTGCTTTGGAATGACTGGGGCTGTCTCCCACTGCATTGAATCCTTCCTTATTGCAGTTGGGCTGCAGGGAGGCCTGTGAGCCAGTCAGCAACCTCCACGTGTTACGACCCACTGAGGTGTTGCGGTATTTCCCATCAGCGATTAGGGAGAGTTGGCCTGCTTGTTGATGACAATGAATCTGAGCTGATTTTCGATCCTCATACCGAGGCAGACCTTGGGGAAGGATGTTCCCCAGTTGGTTGGTAACTTTGTCTCTTGTAAGTCAAAGCCAGTATTGCCTCCTGAAAGGTTGTAAGCACTTCTGTTGCCCCAAAACTGGGAATCGTAATGGAATGTACTCTGAAATTTAAATTGAAAAAAAAAGAATACAATTTTTATTTTCTTGCGTTCAATAAGATATAAGTGAAAGTCTGTTCCAGGCTCCCTCTCGGTGAAGACAAGCAAGCGACTCTTGACGTCTTTCAGGGAAAACCCGCAGATTTTGCCCATCCTTTTTACCGCTTCTTTCCACTTTCTTGTATCAACAGTGAATTTATTCGTGGATTAATTTTTACCTTATTGCCATTAATCTTCATGATCGGCGTCCATCCTCCATCCCCGCATCCAAAGTCTCCCATGTGACAGAAAACAGAAATTGGCTTTGAGTTTAGGTGCGGGGTAACCTCGCCATTCTTCTTCGACCTACGAAATAAAGAATCTTCTTAAAAGAAGAGATTCAGTTGAAACTTGATGAGGGCCATGGCTTCCATATAATCAGTTAACGACATAAAGTGATTTTCGATAAGGCGATTCCTTTCAAGAGTGAAGCTAATGTGGAAGTTTATAATCAAGGTTGCCATGCTTAGCGCAATATTACTTTCATGATTATTATTATTAGTAGTACTGTTATTTTCATATTCTTTCATTAAATTCCGCTCCGGTTTTATTCTTATTAGCAAATAATTGACTTGCACATTCCGGTCGAAAATTTCCTTACACGTCGAAGCTAAAAAAAAAGAAAAGGCATATCAACAGCTATAAAACCTTTAAGAAAGAAAGATGCAATGGCGTTTTGAAATACTTTCGAGGAGAAAATTTACATCTGGAATAAGAAGTACACAACGTTCTTGGTCACTCGTGTTTTCGTGGCTTGCATTGTTAGCGGTGTCTAATGCGTTAGATGAGAATGAAAGCAGCGGAGCCGCGAATTTAAGCAGCATCCCAAACCTCATGCGGCCTCGCCGTTTTTACTCAAGCTGTTCGACGCTTCAAATGCACACCATTAAGACTGCGATCAACGCAAGAAAGTGTTTTCGCGTTCATCAAGAGGTTAGCTTGTTTTAATTTTGAATTCTCAGTAGTTTCTAACAAGGCATTTATCGAAGTCTTTATCGATTCACTGTATATCTATATCTCGATATACATAATTATTAGAAACAATTTTGTCATTACTAACAGTAGTCTAAACAGACAGAAACAGTACAAAAACTAGCTTAAAAAATACAGCAGGAGAAATGTTACCCAAACGGCAGATACTTACATTCCCATAGTATCCTTGTTTGCATGTAGAGTTGTACGATCCCATGATATTGTTGCACACAGCATCAGCATTGCAGTTCATTTTTCCTGTAGCACACTCGTCGATATCTGAAAAGACTTTCCTTTAATTAGAACGTTATCACTGCAATTAATTTAAAAACTAAAGCAGTTTAAAACTGAAGTGTATAAACAACAAATGGAGATCCATGTTGGATCCGATGTCTTGAGAGTCTTGGAATTTTACTGTAGTTTTCTTGGCCATGCAAGAGTACATCAACCCATTTGGGTATGGATTATGGAGCACTATTATAATATAACGGATATAAATTTTTTCAAGTACTTTCATAAATTGTCCGTCTTTCAAATTCACTATTTTTAGAAAGTATATTACTTTTAACAGTACAAAGTTGTCCGCTGTTTCGCTCGATGATGACAATAAGAAACAGCATATATTTACATTTATCAGTATCTAGTTAAGTAACATTAGACTCAGAAACCAAGCTCTGTTTTACCTTTGCAAGTCCGTCCATCTTCAGTAAATCCTGGTTTGTATTTGCAGCGATACGATCCCTTGGTATTGTTGCACATAGCATCAGCACTGTAGTTGGATGTTCCGTCAGCGCACTCGTTTACATCTGTAAATTCATGGCAACCGATTCAATAGGGAAAACTCCAAAATACATGACCAATTTAATCGTTTTTTAGTTTCCATTCCCTTGTTCGTTAAATAAAATTAGGGCTTTGGTTACGTTTACCTTCGCAAGTCCGTCCATCTCCAGAATATCCAGGTTTACATGAACAGTTATGGGAACCTTTGGTATTGTTACAAAAAGCATTGCACTGCAGTCTTGTGTTCATGCAGCACATTTGTCGATATCTGTAAAGACTCTTCCTCAATTAGAACGTAATTTTTGCAGATGTGGAGATAAGATGTGAAAAAACAAAATGAGCCCTACGTGGGATCCGACATGACAGCCTTGAACTTTTGGAGCAACTCTCCAGCGCAGAGTCAGTTTAGAGCTGGTTATTGTGTGAGTTTGTAATGAAACGGACCTAAACTTTTACAGGTGCCTTTAGAAGTTGTGTATAAAACTGTAGTCGACACGAGCTTACGACCAGTTTGACATGAGTGGGGTTACCTTCCTTACACCTTGGACCTTTGAATCCAGTGGTACACAAACAGCGAAATCCTTTTTCAGTACATAAAACTGCTTTGGCAAGTAGCATTGTTATTGCAAGGGTTATCAACACAAGCGCTCTGAAGCGAAAATAATTTTATACGTTGAAACATTAATAAAATGGAAAACGAGCAGGAATAAAAGAACAATAATGATGATACTAGAGATAGAAATATTGACAGTCACATTAGAATTAAAGCAACAATTGCAACGCTTGTGACCGAGATTTTTTTTTTCTTAACCTGAAATGAGTACTTACAAGTGATGCAACACCTACCTCAGCTGCATGATAAAAATAATCGTCTTTCTTCTCCAGGTCGTCTTCGTGTTTTTCGTGAGTAACATTATTCAATTCACATTTGTACCCTCCATGTCCACTTACTCGTTTATAAAGATTGATGCTGACACAGTCAGGTTCCATGTAACACATCTTGTGACAAAAACTCACTGTCAGAACTTTAACAATGCGAATGACGTGGTTTATGAGACGTCTTCCATCAAATGCTTTTTCAGGGGTAAACTGTCGGCATTGGTCTCCGTCAGAGAAGTCTTTGAAATTTATAAAAATATTAAAAAAGGAAAACACTGGTAAAAGAGATAGCGATAAGAGACGTGAAGATGATGATAACAAAAATTATAGTAATAATTGTAATGTTTTGGTTCAGTAATGAGGTTAAGCATATATTGAGAGTTTCTCAGTCGGAATATATTTATTTCAAGTCATCCATCCATTTGGTTCCCTTTTTCTCTTCCATCTCAACTTGCAAATTAATACATTTCTACATAAATAACAGACAATTATCCATACTGCCATCTGCAGGAAACTTGCAGATGGCCATTAATTTCCACAAAGGATGCACATATTCGAAAATTCCCCAAAAATACAAGAAGTAAATGTTCTCAGTAAAGACGAAGTTCCCAGGTTTTAATATGTAAAGTAGACTGAATCGTTGAAGAAATCCATGAATGAACCACATCATGTGGTTCGAGGTCCATCAGCTCAGGGACAGTTCATTGTCTCCCTTGTCACTGCACCAAGATGTATCCCATGGCTTTGATGTGTTTGCCTCCATTATCTGACGATGGGTGGTTCATAGCCTCGTTTCCACACGTGTTGGTGTCATCATGGTATCCTCCTGTACCAAAACCAATTCTAGAATCAGGGGTTATGCAGTCTCGCTCATTATTCCCAAGGAAACCAATCCTTGCTCTGGAAGAGCCATTAGCACTACCCATAGCATTGAATCCTTCTTTGTTGCAGTTATGCTGCAAGGAGGCCAGCGAACCAATAAGCGTCTTCCACGTGTTTCGACCCAATGAGGTGGCGCGGTATTTTCCATCAGCGATCAATAAGTACAGTGAGTTGGCTTGCCTGTTGATGGCAATGAACCTGAGCTGATGACCAATCTTCATACCAAGGCAGATCTTGGAGAAGGGTGTGTTCCAGTAGGTTGGTAACTTGGTCTCTAGTAAGTCAAAGCCAGTCTTGGCTCCAGCAAAGTTATAGGCATTTCTGTTGCTCCAGAAGTGGGAATCGTAATGGAAAGTTCTCTGAAAAAGAAGAATTGCATTTTTTATTTGCCTTTGTTAATTTCAGTGATATCGAGAGTTTCTTTAAGGAGGCAGGGAGTTTACCTTCGTGCCGTTAATCTTCATGGCCAGCGTCCATCCTCCATCCCCGCATCCAAAGTTTCCCATGTGACAGTAAACCGGGATCTTTTGTGAACCAAACATCAGCGGGTATACTTGGCTTCGTCCCGACCTTATGGAAAAAAGAGGAAGTCGAAAAAAAATAAAAAGTAGGCAGCTGATGTGTATGTTTTTCATGACGGTTGTCATGCTTGCCGCAATATTATTTTTAAAATTATTATTTTCAGTAGTACCGTTATTTTTATATTCTCTCATTAAATTCCGCTGCGGCTTTGTTCTTGTTTGTGATTAATTGACTTACCCATTCCGGTCGAAAATTTCCTTACACGTCGAAGCTGAAAAAAGGAAAATGTATTTCAACAGCAATAAACCCTTTAAGAAAAAAAGATGACAGGGCGTTTTGAAATGCTCTCAAAGGGAAAATTTACGAGTGGAATAGGAAATCACACAACGTTCTTGGTCACTCGTGTTTTTGTTGCTTGCATTATCAACGATGTCTAATGCGCTATAAATGAGAATAAAAGCAGCGGACCCGTTAATTTAAGCAGTATCCCAGGCCCCTCGCGGCCTCGCTGTTTTTAATTAAGCCGCTCGACGCTTCTAATGCACACCATAAGACTGCTATCTATGAAGGCAAACGTTTCCATGCCCATCAAGAAGTTAGCTTGTTTTTTGTTTGAATTCTCGGTAGTTTCTAGCAAGACATTTGTCGAAGTTTTTATCGATTAACTGTAAATCTATATCTCGATATACAGTTCAAAATGACTAAAATGAAACACGCATGATTCCCTGTGGGAATCATGCGTGTTTCATTTTAGTCATTTTGAACTGTATTTCGCTCTACACTCGTGTATTGAGCACTTTCCAACAGCGTTTAGTACTATTTCCCACAATCATCTCGATATACATAATTGTTATAAACGAAATTTCTCATCACAGTAGTCTAAACAGACAGAAACAGTACAAAACCCATCTTAAGAAATACAGCAGGTAAAATGTTACCCGAACGGCAGATATTTCCATCTCCATAGTATCCTTGTTTGCATGTACAGTTGTACGATCCCTTAGTATTGTTACACACAGCATCAGCACTGCAGTTCTGTTTTCCTGTAGCACACTCATTGATATCTGAAAAGACTCTCCTTTAATTAGAACGTCGTCACTGCAATTAATTTTAAAACTAATGCTGATTTAAAAATAAAGTGCAAACAACAATTGGAGACCCACGTTTGATCCGACGTCTTGAGAGCCTTGCAATTTTGTCGCAGTTCTCTCGAAAATACAAAAGTACCATCAACCCATTAAGGAACTGATTATTGAGCGCGATTATAATACACTTTTTTAAGGAAGATTCTAATCTGCTATTTCTCTCGAATTGGCGACCAATAACTTTTTTTATGTTACGGTATAATCTAGCCGACAGAAAAACACTACAATTTCACTAACTCTACCACTGTATTAAACCCTATGACTAATTTGAAAGTTTTTAGCGTTGAAGTTTGCTTCTTTAGTTTTCATTCCCTTGTTCGTCGATTAGAATAACAACTTTGGTAACTTTTACCTTCGCAAGTCCTTCCATCTCCAGAATATCCTGGTTTACACGTACAGTTGTAGGAACCCTTAATATTGTTGCACACAGCATCAGCACTGCAATCGGATGTTCCCTCGATACACTCGTTTATGTCTGCAACATTCAACCTTATTGATGTAGGGTATATTAAAGTTAAGTACTTGGTTTCAATTTCACTCAAATAATGCATAGAATTCTTGCGAGCTACGTCAGCACTGCTGGTTTGTCTTCTTTCAGTTCATCTCTATTAGCCCTCCCATTTTCCGGATATACAAGACCACCCAAAATTGTTTTGTTGGTTATTTTTTTTTTTAGACTTATGCCAGTTTATTAATAATTTCTTTGTTTCGCTCCTCCTAAGCTCCATGCATGGAGCTAATACAATGATTTTTTAGTCACAGACGGAAATATTGACATCTTCTCCATAAAACTTATAATATGCAGACTTATTTACCTTCATTGCAAGTCCGACCCTTGAATCCAGCGGAACATAAACACTTATCTCTTTTGTCAGTAAAACCGCTTACACAAGTGGAGTTGTTCTTGCAGGGTTTTTTTGCACAAGCACTCTGATGCAAAAATTAAAAAAATTCCCTTAACGTTTTAGTAAGACCCATACTCCTGTCCTATAAGTCTCGCTCCTTCTGGAGATGCAACATTGTGATAAGACTTGTAAAAAGCCTCTCATTCCAAATACATAGGCTCTTAATTAAAATCAAAACTTAGGGGGAAACAAGAATCATTTTATTATGATATGCAACTAGTATACTACTGTTTTGTTTTCTGCAAGTAGGCTAAGTACCTTTTAGTGACAACGCACCAAAAATATTTAAATTTGAAAGTCTGGGCATTTATAGTTAAAAATTGTGCTTTTATTTCAGCCTTAAAGAAATTAAAGAAACCTACGCTGCACTTAGTATTAACTTATCGTAGCTGGGCAAGAGTCCACCTGACGTTGACTACATGTGGGCCTCTTACGTCAAAATATGAACACACACCAAGGAGACCAATTTTCTCCGACTCAAATTCTCTTTTTTCGAAATTGGGAAACATTTCACGATCGATTCTTTACCAATAAGCACATAGATGAATAGCAATGACAAATGTATTTATAATAATTAAAGCGATAATTTCGTGCTCGTGATCGTGAGTGTAATTGCTCTGATAACATAGCATTTTTGAATGAACTAACTCCTCAGCTGAATTATAAAAAATAGGTTTTGTCCTTCCTCGAATCTTTTAGTCTGATTCGTGCCCTGACAACTCAAGTGATGCAACCAAGGTGTAAATCGTCCTTACCTCAAAGAAATAGTGATGCGAACTCTTTTTTTCTTTGTATTCATTGGGGTTGCTGTACTTATCAGACGACAGTAACTCACACCACAAATCTCCTTCGGCAGCCAAGTTCACGGAAACACATAGAGGATGGTGAAGGCATCTAAATGTGCATTCAAAGTCGTCGTATACCATAATTTCGTCAAGCTCAGGTACATCGAGATAGCGAAACTTGTCCACCGAGAGCAGACTTTGCCTGGATATCTGTGATGAAGTAGGTAGGATGTTGTCGGGGTCTAAACTTGCTACTCCTGTCGGTGGAGAGAACGCTTACCATTTGTCTTTGTCGACAGATCTGTTTATGAACTTTTTATGAATAAACTTCGAATTATTTAAACTTACCGTAAGCGATAATTTTTTATACTAATTTTCATAACTATTTTCTAGTACACTTCCTTTTTCTTTTTTCTTAAACCTCTTTGTTTGTCCTGCGGGCGACTATACCTATTGCCACCAGTGGAAGACTTGGGTGATGCAAGTGTTGATTACCAGATATAAACGCACAAACCGGCTTCAAATACGACATTTACCATCTCAAACTCGCTAGTATACATTCAAGTAGAAGAAAATTATAAGTGCTGCTTTTGCCCAGCCAGGCCGTGAGCTCTAAATTTAGTGAAGTGCAATGAATTGCTTAGTTTCCAAAAATTTTGTTTTTCTTGTGGACTGTGGACGTCATTGACGATTTGTTGGAGAAAAAGTTCACAACAAGTGGGTGATAACCATTGCAGGAGACTCAAAGAATAGGTAGGGCATAATTCAAGGATGAAGACTGCATTCACACGGCCATATTTTAATTTCATACCTGGGAGTACAATACCAAACAAAAAAAAATGCTCGACTGACTTGGTCGATGGACTGGATAACGATGAACCAGTCTAGTAAAGTAAAATTTACATACGAAAGCAACGAAAACCATTTGCAATCTACATTAAATGACACTCACAAAGCTCAATCGGTTACGCAGTTTTAATAAGTTAAAGAGTGTGCATAGCTACGATTTAACTAATACTATTGTGAAAATGAAAAACAAAACAAACCTCTTTAACAACCAACTGGCGTCAAACATTAAGATCCAATCTTTCTAAAAGCGCTTCGGGGTATTTTTTTTGAAAAAAATCGATTTCTTTCAAAGTTTTTTCATGAATCTGTCTTGATCTAAAAATACTCATTAGCTGAGTGACAGACAAACAATAGGTCGCTAAAAGAGCTATCAGACAACTTTCGGCAACACTATTTTTCTAGATAAGGATGGATATTTTTCTCTCCTAAATGCAAAAAAGCTTCAATGTGCTAAATTTAAGCGTCAACCATCGTTTTAAGACGTAAATCTCTTTTGTTATTGAGTCTGCTTTCTGTGCACTGTTAGGTGGAATTTTCAAAAATGTCCAAAACATATCAGCCGGCTGGGCTAGAAGTTCGCCAAAGCCACAACATATTTTTATCTTCCCATATTCCTCCACCTACTAATCAAATAACACTCCAACTGATTTATTTAGGGCATTTTTGTAACTATAGTATTTTAGAGGCGATTTCATGGGTTATAATCACAGCATATGGGTCCTTCGAACAAATTAATTCTTGTCACGCGCTACCCCATAAGATTGCAGGTTTCTCAAAGTTAAAATGACTACACTCTAAATACCATTATTAGGAACGCTTCCCCAAAATTCCCCAAACAAGAGCTGTGCAAAAATACGAGAACGGCAAACTTATGCCATTTTTGGTGATCGGCGCTGTTAAAAAAAAAAGGTATCGGCGCTCGGAAAATAAAAAAACAAATATTTTGCAATAATTCGAAAAAGCAAGGCGGTTTCGACTACTTTAAGACTAAGGCAGATTCATGGGTAAATGTGAAAGAAATCGATTTCTTAACCGAAATTTACTAGACCGCTTCCTAGAGAGACTGCAATTGATTGAGAGGGACTAATTTCCCGTGTGTGTGACGACACAAGTGCAGACATCATGAAGCACAAAACTAAAAGAACACAGACAAAGATCAAATTCTTCATGGCGCGGAACCCTCTGGAGACCGAATTCCCGAAAGACATACAAATTAATGCCTAAATTATCTATCAATTTTTTTTTTTAACTTCCTGACTGCCTTTTAACCAATGAAATCTGAGTATTGCTGGTAGTTAAGAGGGTCACTATGTCTGGTAATCAATCATAGAGCGCT